TGTAAGGCACATTTCTAAAACCGGATTTCATCACTACCATATTCCTAGGGAGTCATTTACGTTGTCACGGATTTATGGTCTATGAATATGTCAGTTGTGTTCCTCATTGACTGTTGAATAATTTTTCCTGTCTATACTTTTCTTTTGAGTACGTAAAATCTGTTTCTGATGATTGTTTTTGTGGTTTGTGTTTGACATTTAGTCAAGCAACAGAAAATTGAACATAATATAACTAGTTTTATTTGAGACAGTTATAAAACAGCTTACAAAGAAACGCAATGGTTTGGTTAATCTCTTCACTGCGTTTTCATGACGTGATTTTTATGGCCAGCTACAAAAATATAAAGTAAAACATCTTTCAGTCTTCCACGATCTCTTCATTTTCCGACCCATCCCATGTAGGTACCTTCTCCGCGTTGTTGTCTGCAAATCTGACTTTATCTGTAACAATGAATAACCATGATTATGCTATGCAAAACAACTTTATCTAATGTGTGCGCGGTAAAGTAGTAGTTCCCAAACCCTAGATCACGATTCAAACGATGGTTGTACGTACGCGGAAAGTAATTGGTTTTTTATTAATCCTCAGATGCTACGGGATACCTAAATACATCGTTTCTGTTTTGGAATAGTTGTATACGAAAACCATAACTGGTGTCAAAATCGAGGGAGAACCATTGGGATTGTAAAGTTCGCCAGGGAGTTATGCTTGCGCCTTTGTTATTCAACATTATTTTCGACTTTCTTCTATGAAACAGTGCTGATCATGGCAAAGACGAAGGTATCATTGCACAGGGAAAGCGGGTTCAAGATATTCGGCTAAACATCTTACTGCCCTGAAGCATGCAGATAATATGGCCCTGATGAGTAGTACGGAAATGGGCTGTGTCATCTGATGGCTTCCGTATGCAACACAACTGAGAAAAGCGGCATTTACCTTCACACCTGAATGTCCAAAGTTATGAAGAACCTATCGGAAACTGATCTGCTACTCGAACAGAGAGGAAGTCGACCAGATTAAATATCTAGACTCAGTAATCTACAGCGATAACGCCATTCAATCAGAATTAAATAGGAGAATCACTTTTGGAGGAGTGTAGTACTCTTGATAACCTGTGGAATATTTAGACTGAAAAATAGTTCCTTTCCACAAAAATTCGCCTGTCGATTGCCTCTGTCAGGTCAACTGTTATACGGCATGAAAACAGTTATTCTTACGAATGAGCAAGATCAATGGTTGAACTACATACAGCAACGTTGGCTTCGATGCGTAATGAGAGTTAAATGACGGAACCTCGTAAGGAATGAATTAATTCTCTTCCAGGCACTGATGACCTCAGTAGACGTGGATATTAAGAAAAGAAGGTTATCCCTGATAGACAAACTGGTTGAGCAGAAGGCTTTTACCCCTGCCAGCAAACTTTCCGTATGGAGCCAAAACACGACAGACATCAGCCAGAAAGCCAGCGTGCAACCTGAAGAAATAGGATGGAGGTAGATCTGCTGTCAGAGAGTAATATTTCTTTCCTACGATACAGTAATCAGTGCTTTAGAGCAAAAGGGTTGTAAAAATGCCAGCCAACACAAACCAACGACGCTCTGCTTCTGCAAACCGCTTGATGATCATAAGCACTTCTGACGATGTTGTGCTTTATATTTTGCATCATTAAAAGTTTATTGAAATTTATTCTATGAAACACCATGGAGTCATGACCTGTTTCAATGATGCGCTATGCTACTAAAAGCAGCGGGTCAATGAGTTTCGCTGTGTAAATCCCGTATCAGAAGTTGAACTGGAGTATATAGCAGCGGAAATGAAAATCTGTCATTCGGGGTAACTTCCTCAAAACATTTTGGATATATTATATCCTATATTTTCTATATATTTGGTTACTGGCAGGGGTACTCGAACATGTCCTTGTTCATTTCAACTCAGAGACGCGGTGTTGCATCTGATGCACTGCATGTTTTTTATGTCGTGAAGCTAGAATCTCCTTAGATGACCGTTAGGCGATACAAGCAAAGAGGCGGCGGGATTTCGACATGAAAATCCGCTAATATTAACTGAAATGAGATTTCTTCT